CCTCTAAAACCCAAACCTGATGCCCTCCGACCCATCACTCCTCGCCCCTCAAGCCCCTTAAACCCTTTTCCACCAAGATCTGAATGACCGGGTTGAGGGTTTAGGATTTTGGGGTTTGCCAGTGGTAAGGGCTGTTGCCAGCATCGAAGTTCTACAGTCAGTCCAAGTATATGTCCTGTGTAGCATACTGTTGTTGTTACTTTCTGCGCTCAGACCATCGACGTGGTGATTATGACGCTGGAAACCATCGATCTGCCCGTGGCAGGGGCGATTCACACCGCCTCGGTGCTACACTGGCAACAAAAGCGACAAGTAGCATGGCCGCGCAGCATCAAGAATCATGACCTAACCTCTCATTAAACCTGCAACCTTACACAATTCAACAGAAGTCAACACAGCACAGACAGGCCCGAAAAGCCGGTCCACTCGATTGCACTTCCGCATGCGCTGATCGGTCTGCGAGGGCGCAAAATCAGATGCCTTCTAGGCTTTAAAGTTGATATGACCAGACTTCCGCAGGGCCCGTCGTCCCCGCCCCTCACGGCCACGAGCCGAAAAATGGCGCAGAGCGCTTCACACGGAAGATGCAGGATGGGTTGAGGGCTAAAGGCTTAGGGCATCGGGCTTCTGGCTCAATTGTGGGCTCGATTTGGGGTTTAGGCACCTTCACCCAAGCCTAAACCCCAAACCCTCAAACCCTAAGCCAACCAACCAAAAAAACCTAAACTTATTAAGCCCAAATATGGGCCGAGAGTTGGTCGACCTAGAAAAACCCGAATTCTCCGCAAAGCAGGGGACTTCGTAGAGCTGTTAAGTCAAAATCCTGCATTACCTGAAGGACTCGAAACCATGGGTTTATTATTATGGTTTTTAGGGTTTTAGGTTTTCAGGGCTTAAAGTATAAATCCTGCATTACCTAAAGGACTCTACACTACGCGAACTACGGTATACTCCTGCATCAAGCCTAGGGTTTGTTGCCGAGGACCCAATAGAAAACAAAAATGATAATTTTAGCTCTAGGGGTCTAAGTGCAACATAGAATCCTGAAAACGAGCCTGACAGCTACAGATGCAAGTGTGTCCGTCACTTCGTACCAATGTGAACTGCTCCCCCGTGGGTCAAACCCCTAGGTTTATGAATGGGACTAGGGACAAGACCCCTACTGCGGGACGGCTTGGTCCGTAACTGAGGAAACCACTGATAACCAGTCCTACGCTCCTAAACCCTCGGCAGCACATCCTAAACCCTAAAGGCTCGAAGCTCTTATAATGACTGAAGTTTCCTTGACCGTGGCTCCTGCGTCATGCCTCGGGCCGCACAGTGGATAGTTCCGAGGGCCAAAGCACTTGCCAGTGAGTTTCCGACGCCTTTCACTCCACCAACAGTTTTCTGATGTCTCCGCTGATCCAACAGTAGGGTCTTAGGCTTTGGGATTTGGGGGGTTTAATGTGGAGGGTGCAGGGCTCTCATGAAGTCCGACTGCGTCAAGTGTAGTAGTGGACATGTCCCTTGACTCAGAGGCCGTCGGCCTTTCACACGCAAGTGCCCAAGCGCTTACACGGAGGGTTCTTTTGCACTGAGGGTCGTAGAACGTGACCCGAACGTGTCTGTCATCTGGGCAACATTTATTAATTGTTAGCCTAGTGCCAAAGCCTAGTTCAGCCGTCGAGATGTGCGTGGCACGTTTACAAGCCCTCAGCACTGCCTTCTCTGAAGGAGAGGTCACTGCCTTTCAGGTGCGTGCCGGCCGTCGTGCCCCAGGCCCTAGGTCACCAAGCCAGCCTTTAACGCCACACCCTGAAGGTTTATATAAATGCGCTTCTGTGGGTTCTCAGCCCTGCACCAAGCTACAAGCTCAAGCTCTTCACAACAGTAGTTACGGCCTGCACGGTGTCTGCGATGCCCTTCCCTGCAGAGTTAACGTGCGAGCTCGACTCTATGACAGAAGGTTCTGCGAGCTGCGGCGTGCGCCGTCAAAAACCTTAAGTCCCAAGACCATAAAGCCCTACAGCCTTAACGTGCGTAGCCCTAACCCTACACCTGTCGAGTCCGCAAAACCTAATGGCCCAATTAAGCCCCTGCAGCTCTACACCCTCAAAGCTACAGCCCTCACTTTGCAGTGTGCACGGCCTTGAGTTAGCTTTGTTCAGGGCTTCGCTGGGCGGGGTGGCTGAGGTGTTCGAAGGCTCAAGGCCTGGTGTCAGGGCTGCTGGGTTTTGGGGATTGAAGGTTTTGCGAAGGCTTCATATTGGTTGTGTAACGGGCTTGAAGTGTAGGGTAAAAGAGTCATGCTTGAAGGGCTATGGGACATAGTCAGTCAGTTATTGATTATTAGTTAGTATGTGCCTAGCTGGGGTTAACCGGTGGAGGACTGTAACCCACGCCGTCAATCTCAAACTTGCAGCTGTGAATCCGGCCCTACACGACGTACTTCATAAATTGGGTCCCGCCATACCCTCGAATTTTGCAGTGGTGTATACACCCTCTGAAACTTATAATGCAAGGGCCTAACTGAATTACCAGTACCATTTTGGGGTGTTCCTTATTATACTTACAGTAGAATGCACCCCACAGCCCTATTCTAATTATTGAGGCCCATAAATAGCCTCTGGGAAGCTCGCAGTGAGTTCGGGGTTTCCTCCCCCCTCCTTGACTTTAAATCGTCAGGGTGCTAATTAGTTGGATACGCTCCGTGACTCATTACCGGTTTTGGGTCTTCCACCCCCCCTTTGGAAGCTGGTTGCTGTCGGATTGATGATTTCGCGGCATGGAAGTTCGGGGCTTCGAGCTTTAATTATTTCCGGTTGGGGATCAGAGCTTGCATAATGCTGGCCCTGAAGCCCCTGACAATTCTATTCGTTGACTTACTTCGACTACTACAAACCACAACGACGACTAACTACTACTACTACTACTACTACTACTACTACTACTACTAGTTCTTCTGCTACTACTACTACTATTATTGTTATTACTACCACTAATACCATTACTACTACTACTACTACTACTACTACTACTACTACGACTACGACGACGACGACTACTACTACTACTGCTGCTACTACTTCTTCTTCTGCTACTACTGCTACTACTACTACTACTACTACTATTATTGTTATTACTACTACTAATACCATTACTACTACTACTACTACTACTACTACTACTACTACTACTACGACGACTACGACGACGACGACGACTACTACTACTACTACTGCTGCCGTTGCTCCTGCTACTACTGCTTCTACTACTGCTGCTGCTGCTACTACTACTACTACTACTACTACCCTGCTGCTGCTGCGACTACTACTACTACTGCTGCTACTACTTCTTCTGCTACTACTACTACTATTATTACTACTACTAATACCATTACTACTACTACTACTACTACCACTACTACTACTACTACTACTACTGCTGCCGTTGCTCCTGCTACTACTGCTGCTACTGCTGCTGCTGCTACTACTACTACTGTTACTACTACCCTGCTGCTGCTGCTACTACTACTACTGCTGCTACTACTTCTTCTTCTGCTACTACTACTACTATTATTGTTATACTACTACTAATACTACTACTGCTACTACTACTACACTACTACACTACTACTACTACTACTACTACTACTACTGCTACTGCTACTGCTACTGCTACTGCTACTGCTACTGCTACTGCTACTGCTACTGCTACTGCTACTGCTACTGCTACTGCTACTGCCTGCTGCTGCTGCTACTACTACTACTACTACTGCTGCTACGTCTTCTTCTGCTACTTCTTCCGCTACTACTACTACTACTACTACTACTGCTACTGCTACTGCTACTGCTACCGCTACCGCTACCGCTACCGCTACCACCTCTCCTACTCCTACTCCTACTCCTGCTCCTACTCCTACTCCTCCTACTCCTACTCCTACTCCTCCTACGCCTACTCCTACTCCTACTCCTACCCCTACCCCTACCCCTACGCCTACGCCTACGCCTCTTCCTACTCCTACTTCTACTCCTACTTCTACTCCTACTCCTACTCCTACGCCTACTCGTACTCCTAGTCCTAGTCCTAGTCCTAGTCCTACTCCTACTCCTACTCCTACTCCTACTCCTACCTCCTACCTCCTACTCCTACTCCTACTCCTACTCCTACTCCTACTCCTACTCCTACTCCTACTCCTACTCCTACTCCTCCTACTACTACTACTACTGCTACTCCTGCCTACTATCACTACTACGCTACTGCGACTACTTCTCAGGTTGAGAGTTTAAATGGTATAGTCTTGTACATCTGCATGTGTCTATCTGAATGTATGCCTCTACCTGCGTGTATATGCTCAAAGTCAGGCTAGCAGTGCGGCGCACACGCACACACACACACACACACGCACACAGACAGAGACGCAAGGAATCGCACACGCAACTGCACGAACGCAAGCTGCAACACCCAATAGTCTCAATCCTTAAGAGTCAAGAACAGGGAATCCCAGCTCTAATCCCTTCCCCCTAATATAAAAGGGGTCCCCCCCTCCCCCGCTCCCTTAATCTTACAATTCGAAAACCGGGCCCGACTTTTAGTATTGGGGGGGGTTTTTGGACATCCGTGTAGGGCTTGGCTAGATAAGACCTAAGCCTTAAAGCCCTAAAGCCCTAAAGCCCTAAAGCCCTAATCCCTAAAGCCCTAAGCCCTGAAGCTTTAAACCCTAAGCGCGAAGCTTTAAGCCTTAAGCCCTGAAGCTTTAAGCCTTAACCCCAAAGCCCTGAAGCTTGAATCCCTAAGTCCTAAGCCCTGAAGCCTTAAGCCCTCAGCCCTACGCCCTGAGCCCTTAACCCCGAAGCCCTGGTCCTTCTGGTTTAGTACTACTGTAATCTTCGTTCAATTAAAACACATATAAATCTAGCCCCCCCTAATGTTTTTGATGTTAAGTTGCATGTGGGGCCCGAAGCCGCAGGTTTGAATATTAGGGAGGGCTTTATAATTAGGGGGAAGCGATTAATTAGTTGCCCGGCACCGCCATGGCTCATGTGTTGTGGTGTCTGTTCTGGTCTCTCGGCTTGGAGGTTTTCATCGGGGTTCAAGGGTTCGTGCGTAGGGATGAGGGTTGTTTTTGGTCATACAGGGTTTCGGATTTGAGTTCTGAGCGTGGGATTTGATTTCAGTTCAGGGCTTGTAAGGTGCAGGGAGACTAAACCCTGACTTCCCAGGCTCATGACCTTAAGAACTTGAAAGTTAAGGCCAATTCCGAATCCGTATGCTCAGTGTTCGAGCCCGGGTTTCTCCAGAAACGGTACTCCGAGTTCGATCTTCAGGTTCACACCCAGCGATTTAGCTGGGCAGCAACGACTGTAAGGCAATAGTGGATACCCTCAGCCCCACAGGGTCTTAGCTCAAAAGCACAGTCTGTATGTCGGGAGAGTGCAAGACATAATTCAGAAAGCAGGTGTTTCTGAGGGTTGGTGAAGCCTGTCATCTGTGCAAGACACGAGTTGCCTGCCTCGGACTCGTCACGTCCACATCGGCGGATTTGCGCTCAATTACCCAACTTTCTGCTTGTCAAGCAGCAGCACGTCGTCCAGCCAGTGCGATCCCGCCGATCAGCGGCCAAACTCAAGGGAATTCGTTGTTGAGTAGCCCGAGGTCATGAAGGGATCGCCGTTTAGCTTCAACAGGTTTTGGCCACAGGGCTTCAAAGGTTTGGGCCGAAACTCTGGACCCTTTGGCCGCTAAGCCGTGAAACCTTGAACCGTGTAAAGTTCGAATGTCCTATCAAAACCACACGAAACCACAAAGCATTGCAAGCCCTTTTCATGTCCTATGAACCCTCAAACTTCGACGTTTACTGGAGGGGTCCTGCAAAGCCTACACACGCCCTATGAGCCAAAGCTTTCAACTCGCATGTGAAGCTGAAGAAACTTTTCAACTCTTGATTAACGCTCTACGGCGCCATGCGTCTGCGTTACATTGGCGTTGTTTGGGGCCTTGTGGAGATTGGGATGTGGCACCAGGTGTCATGGGCAACACTCTCAAAAGCACCCCTACCCTCCTAGCGCACTCTTGAATTGGACCTGCTGCAGGGGTTCTTCTATGAACCTGAACAACCCCTATGCCTTCTCTTGGAGGTGGATAATAGTCACGACCCTGATTATTTGCTTTTCTGTAGTAAAATTTCTCGAAGCTCCTGGCTCGAACTGTTTTCTCTCGGGTGTCGTCCAAAATTGTTCTATACGTTGTTTCTAGCTTATCATGCACATGACCTGAACGGGTTAGCATTTTCAACGCTCGCTTTGTATGATGATATTTTGTCACTTGGTCCACGCATTACTTTTTACAGATCACATTCACTCGTTGCCGCCATGTTGTTCTTTCTGGTCTTTCTGACTGCCGTTGCTACTGCTGTTGCCCCGCGGTCGGGCAGCCGATCTCGATCGCCGATTTACAGCCCCTCATCAGATCTTCGGCTCGGCAGTACAGGCAGCAGCATCGCCAGTGGCAGAGCAGTTCCACATCGCCGAACACGGCCCAGCGGAACTATTGCGATGCATGGTTTATGTCACAGCGATGGAGATGCCACTATATTCCACTCCTCGACGAATGGGTGGCAACAGGAGCCTGATGCTACAGAGACATGCTATCGACTTGCGGAAACATTGTCTGATCCTCCACATCATACTCACATGATGTTCCTGAGCTCCTTATCTGAGCATGTCTTTGAGAATCATATTGGCCCGGATCTTCAACGAAACCTGCTTATGATTTATATCAATGCACAACGAGCACGTCTCCGAGAGCTCTTGGATGATGCTCCAGGACGTAGTAGTCGTCTGCGCCCACTCGTGAACCGCTGTGGGCCACATGTGTTGGTTTACATAAGCATTTGTGCGTTTCAGGCTGATTTCCCCCGCGAACAGGAACTTCGGTACATGAACCTTGATTGTCGCATCCTCAGATGGAGAACCAATCGATGGCAGTACACGTTGTGCCGTAGATGCTCGCATCGCTCCTGTCGGCGACGCTTCAGAAGGTGTGTCTCTGGGACGAGGCGGTTTTTGAATGTTCTGGCAACGCGATTTTGGAGAGCAGGGCTGGAAACTGGAGAATTGCTCGTCAGTCGACTGAGTTTGTTTGCATGCACTGGAAGCTCATGTTGGACCATCTGCCTCTGTGCTCGACTTGTCAAGCTGTGCGTCTTGCTGATATCCGGTTATGCTTTTCTGCTCGCATCAGTGACTGAGCTCCCGCTTGTGCCGACGATCATTCAGCAGGAACACCCTTTGGCAGGGCCATGCGCTAATCTGTTGCTCAGCTGTGGTCATCTTGACAGGCCATACCTCGAAACATGGTCTCCTTCCTCACTGCTTATGGTGAGCGCGCAACTCAGACCGCTGACGCAGAGTGCAGTGAATCATCCACAGGGAGAGCTGTCTTTTATATGCTGGCTGTATCACTGGGTTTTATGGATCGAAGAGTGCGTTTTCTACTCAGCTATTCCACAATGGAACAAGTTGTCATACCCAGATGTTTGGGAGGAATATGTCACATTCTGTTTATCTCGACTGTACTTGTTGCATCTGGATTTGTCCAGCAGATGTCGAATCCATCTCAGTACAGTGATGTGCCGGCTCCCATATTGCAGCGGTTGGCGACGCAGCGAGTGCATGATCTACTCTATAATACCAATGATGAGTTTTCTGCTCCGGTTGAAGCCGTGGCTGCTGACCCTGGAATGGATGAGGTGGCTGAGCCATTGGTACCACATGTGGTTTCCAGACCTCCAAAAGACGGAGGCTCCTACCCGGACGACTTTGATGGTTCTCGCTTCACGACGGCACCTCTGGTCAAGGCCAAGGCCAAGCCCAGACCTTCTCAGGCTCCACATGTGTTGCTGGCCGGCTCCGCTCGCAAATATACCAAAAAGGCTCTTCGCATTGTTCGAGTTCGCAAGACACCACACCACCGAGCACAAGGCCCCGCTAGGGGCTGTGCCTTTCTGTGGAGGGGAGGTCAGCGGCTGCGAGGAAAGACACAGTGCGACGTGGCTATTCAAACTGACCCAGTTCCTCTCAGCCCTCTGCGACCAATGGATCGGAGGCTACCTGATGATGATATTGACCTGGATCAATCTGATAGCTATGATGGGCCGTACAATGACTTCAACTCGAGCTCTGACTCAGAACGGTTGTCCACCATTGCACGAAACATTGTCAGCCAAGAGCTCAACCCTTCGGACAATGACTGACCAATCTTTGGTATTCGGTCTGGTGATTCAGTGTGTACAGATTGAGGCTCTCACCGGTTCACGTCGTGTATCTGTATGCAATACCTTCTACGTGCGATTGGCAATGGCAGATGAAAAACTTATGTTGCATACAGTTGCAAGTGTCTGTCGCATGCACTGCCTGTACCTTGCCCACTGGCTTCTTCAATTGATGGCTATTATGACTGAAGATCAGGTCCCATGGTATGGCGAGCGTTATTGCCTGAGCATATCACCCTGGAGCTTGTATGGTGGAAGATTGCCAGGGACAATGCACTTCATATGCCAGGTACAAGCTCTCACGCTTCTGCAGCCTGCTACCCAAGCTCTATTTGGATGGTATATGTTCAGTGCTTTGCTCCTGCGACAGGTCCTGACTGCTATTGACCCCTTGGGCACGGCTGTTCAATGGTCAGCTTCTCCAGTTACACTCAGTATTCTCTCGCTTCATGTATTCCTGATTGCGTTGACCATGTGGCAGGCCTCTGGAGCGATTATGTGTCTGGTCTTGGCAGTGATGTTTGACCGGCCCCTCTCAGGTGCATCACTCCAGTGGTTGTATGCACATCTCTGCCCTGCCCTAGGGCAGCTCATGCACCAGGCTTGGTGGATATATTGTATAGGAGTTGCCCATCTCCTCCTCTGGTGGCTGGCTCAGCAGACAATGCTTCACGTGGTTTTCGATCGGATTCTTGACACCAGGTCCAGTGGTCTATACGTATTTCTGCATGATCATTGGTTACTCAGTGCTCGGACTGATCATCACCTCCTTTGGTGGGTGACCCAGACTTCTACGCTTGATCAACTGCTTTGCTGTGCGTCGGTCATCACACAACTGCGAATACCTCCTTCTGTGATCGCAATGTTTGCAGCTTGGAAGCTTCAGTTCTGCGGTTATCATGATGCACATGCTGACTTCTTGCTAACACGGTTGTATGCTCACAGTATGTGGATGCTCACACTATACTCAGAATTGCAGCTCATCCACCTATGCGGTTTTCTGCTGTGCCTTCACAGTGGGCGCTTTGCAATGTATACGCCACTGAATCCAGAGCCCAAAAGCACATGGGATGACAGGCCAACGTTACCAAGGAAGCGGCCAAAGACGCATGTCGACCCTCCGACCAGAACGCCACTACCACGCAAGCGTATTCTTCAGCCTCTGCCTCGACTCCGACGCCCGCTGCAGAGACTTCGCCGTGTAGCTGGCACGGGGTCTGGTGCTTCAGCTGCTTCAGCAGCTGCTTCCTCTAGCTCGACACCTCTGGTTTTGAAAGAGGGGCATGGCCAGGATAAGCCATATCGTGAGGGAGATCGACGTACTACCAAAAAGGCCCATAACAGTATCCTGAGGAAAATGTCTGACAAGGAGATGAGATCAATGCGGAGAGCCCAGAAGGCGGCGACCAAGGCGTTCAATAAGATGAAGGAAAAGCGCGACAAGAAGAATGATGCAGCTGGTGATGCAGCTGGTGACACGACGGTGGCTGAGCCTGTGGCTGAGCCTGGGATGTCTACGGAATCTATCCCTGCCGGTTCCCAGCCCAAAGCGAGGTCTGGGAGAGCTACCACAGGGGCCACGGTGCAGAAGCTGAAGGCAGTGCCAAAGGGGAGCCGAAAAGGCTCTATCAGAGAATCCTTTGCTAAAAGCCATCGACCTGATGAAGCTCTTCCGAGTGGGGCTACAGGTGGTGATCCACCTGGGGTCGCTGCAAATGAGCCAGTACAAGATGACATCATGCTTCAGCGCCAGCAACAACTGATGGCCATGCAGCAGTATGCGTCACGAC